CTTCAGAGTGAAGCGGCGACGCTGCACTCGGCGCCCAGTATCAAAGAAAATGGTCTGCGACAATCCCTTTTAGACGATGTGCTCCATCAATAGCATTGCCACATTTTCCAAAGTGAGAAATAGAATGCCTCTGTTGTCAAGCTGGCGTACTCAATATACCCACCGAGTTTTTCTGGCACTGGAGCGCTGTTTCTAAAGCGGAAGGTAGACTGGATGCGCGAAGACTGCAGCTCATGAGAAAGCACCTCCAGATAACAAGGCAGAAAGGAGTAGCGTTTTTTTTGAGGTCCTTTTACACGACAACGGTTCATGGCAGCGCACACACTAAATGTGTTTTCCTTTGCAAGGTTGGGAAACTAGAGGGCACAAAAGTGCTAGCATTTGTTTGTCGACTCACCCCCGTGGACACAAAAATTCATATAGAGAGGTACTGGGGCTGCCACCTTGGATAGAGCAAAACAACTGCTTAGTTGCGACTGGTGTTGATACAGCACAGACCGCTTCCTGTACAACCGTTCATATTGACGGATGCCGACTACCTTGTTCGAGCCATGAAAACCAAACTTTTAGTGCTAGAAGTAGTAGAGGTTTCATAGTTTCTCTGAATTTTTTTGTAAAGAAGAAATATCGGAATTCCTCAGTTTACCTCAGGCTCTCGCAACTGTGGCCTGCACGTGCTCATCTACATAAGCTTCCTGATCAAATTCCTTACTAGGGTAACGAGAACAACTTGAACTTAGATGTGGGATAATGCTACACTTAGAGCGTTAATGTGACAAAAGCGTTCCTTTCACTACCTTAAGTGCTTTGACTGATTTTACGAAACTGCGATCAATAGAATTCTTTTCATGCGCCGCTGAAGGCGCATACGTGGAACTTTTTGCGCTAAATAGTCAAAGCTCTGTAAAATCTGACGCCTGATCCTTTTGTGAGACAACAGCACCGTATCAAGCTTGGGGAACCCATGAAGCATTACTGTCCGGGGCGCTAGATCGACGGTGGCAGTAAATGAGTATCCTCTGGGTAGGAGTGTGCTACTTTGCTGCATTAATATGGGTGTGATCGTTATCCTGCACGTGTGCCGCTATGGATTCGACCCAATCTATCCTCTTGGATTTGCACGCTCGATGCTGCTGTGCAGTGAGCATTAGCTTGGAATGAAGTAACACGGCACCGTCTCTGCTGCAGGCTGTTTGCGTGATATCTACAGGAGGCCTTGGGACTCACATGCCGAAATACAGCATTGTGGAACTCTAAGGTATTCGTGCAGGCGCGCCTGCGCAAGTCCAAGAAATAATGAGCTGTAAAGTTAAATTGTGGTTTGCTTAGGGCTTTCTACAGCGTTTGGAGGCTTCCTATTGAGAGGATTCAACGGACAGTAACGTCAGCTGGTAGCAGATGCGACGAACGTGCCATATGAAGAAAAACATTTTTCACGATTTTTTTATTTTGGTTTGGGGTAATCCAGAGAGTTTGCATTTTAGTAGAATTTGTGAGCTGGTTGCACGGAAGTAACTCATCTTCTGACGTGCCATTTTTACACTGCAGCGAGATTTCCACATGGTTTCTGATATTGTATCCCGCTTGTACGGGTGGTGCAGAGGTAACTCTCGTCAGCTTCTCGGTCTGAATTAAGCAGGAGCACTACTACAGGGGGTTCGGTATGTTTATCGCACCTCCATGTACTGTTTGGTTTGACGTTGGTTCCCGCCACAGAACTGTACTTGCCGTCACTTTGCCGATATCCCAATAAATTCGCATGCAAGACTGACAACTCAGTGCGGTTAAGGAGGAGGACTTCAGTTTGTCCTTACGAATTGCTTTCCTTGAGCATTCCCTACAGTTGAAGGCTCGCAGAAGGTTTGAGCTGCGCTGGAGTTTCGGGGATACTTATCCCCAGGTAGCTTTTTCGAAGATCGCTTGATTTGCGGCATTGGTGATATAGCGAACTACAACGATTACTAATGTGCAATTCAGGAGCATCCCCTGGGTTTACTTTCTATGCAGTTTAAGATAGCTTAGGCACACTCAGCCTTATGCAAGTCCTCAATAGCAGACCATGCGCTTGCGAAACCTGCACCTTCGGGAGTTTGCATGTAAAACTTGAATTGTAGTTAGTAGATGTGAATGCATCGGCAACGGCTTATACTAGTACTTTCCTAGAACGCAGCCTATTCAGCGTGAAGCTGGGGGAAGCGATAATTTTGTTGCTTCTCCAGATGTCACTTCATTAGGGAAGGCGGCGGAAGTGGACAGGGGTCCACACATATAGAGCAGCATATTTATTTCTAGAAGCTGCACATCTGTCACGTTCCAGTTCTTCAGTGGTAAGTGCGTGCTCATTTCCATTTGTAGCGATGACTGCAGTCCGTAGTTGTCTGTATACTGCAACTGGTACTTGCAGGAGAGCTTCTTCACAGGCGCTCCAAAAAATATTTCAAAAGAGCGGGGCTGTCTAGCTCAGTAGCACGCCTACTTCTCGGAACACAAAAAACAGTACTTACATCCGCTCATCTTTGGGCTCAAGATGCACACGGTAGGCTGCAAGCTCGCGTATTGTCTGGCTGTTCAGTGATATCTGGTTCTTTAGATCTTTAATTTTGGCTTCAGCTTCAATCATCCTTTGCTCTAAATCGTGCATGTCAGCTTCTGCGAGCTGTTGCAGTTCCTGCGTTACATATGTCCCCGTGTCAACATGAATGGTTTCTCGCGTGCTTCCAAAACTCTGCTGTTTGCTGATGGTAGAGAAATCGAGACGATCGGGTTGTATGGCATCGAAACAGATGTCTGAGCACGCGCAACAATGACTGTCTGCCTGATTCCATGCTTCAATAGTGAGGCGGGAAGAGACAAAACAAAGCACGGGAGTAGTTTTTACGCAGCGGAAAGGCGTACTACGCTTTACTAGGCTTCAGACAAGTGTCCTGAACTACCTAGAGTAATAGCTTCGGTAAGCGATCCTCTTGCATGAGCACACCAGCGGAAACGCCTGGCGCGGAAAACGTACCAAAAGTGCTAACAAATTCTTTTGCTTTTTTGAGCAAACAGAAAGCTTCTTCAGCTTCGCAGGGGCGCGCTGAAAAACACTCTTGAGGAAACGTTGAGTTGCTTCTCTTCGGAGTGCGGGCTTCTCCAGTGTCCAGTTGCTCACCTTCTGGGTGAGGCACCACAGAGCTTATCATGGCAAATCACTCCTTTTCCGCTTTATTATACCTTTTGTGATTAGCGCTCAGGGCGGCTCTCGTTTTTTTGTCAGTGTCAGCACTCTTGCCACTCCCAAGAATATGCGCGGACCAGCACCCACGACCTCTGAAAGCTCTACTTGCTTGGCACCCAACAGCTTTTGCAGCGTCGTTGTTAGATGTATAATAGAGACGAAGTTATGCAAAAAGATGATGATAAGAATGGAATAGTTGCACCTGGAACCCACTGCTCGAGCTGCTCAGGTGACCTCAGGGCTTGACGGATGCTTGCTGTCGTTCGGCAGTCAAGAAGTCCAGGTTCCTCTAAAGGAGTGAAATTAATGCATGGATATTCTTTCACACTGAATCTTATGAACATGCATCACGAGGCCCCGCTTGAACTTCTTCTGCGCACAGGGCCTTTAGAAAGCTCTTACGAGGCCAGGCCACTGGAGTAACGCCAATGGCGGCGCCCGTCCAGTAGAGCAGCTTTCCTACATCTACTCTTTATCTGTGGCCTTACTGCCAGTATGTTGAGGAATCAGAAGCGTTGACATGTCACGATGAATTAACGCACAGGTTGATTGCGTGTGTGCCGATGTGGAACTTTAAGCTCCATACGGAGTATTCAGTCTGCTTATTGTGACTTCAAAATGTTTCATACTATGTAGAATAAACACCAAGGTACACTGACTAGTGGCAAACTTTCTCTGCGCACAGCGGTGCCGAGAACACTACGTCCAAACCCATGACCACGACAGGTGACTCCAGCAACTTTTTCCTCTAGCACGATGACCATAGATAAAAGAGTGATTAGGGACTTTTCAAAGAACTCAGCCCATACGGCTGCATGTCCTCGCTGGCTTTGGCGCTCGCTCTTGATGTGGATACCACAACCAGTTTTGCTGGAAGCGATTACCGCAAATTGCTGCTGCATGCAGCATTTTGGGACCCGCAGAGCACTGTGTGACTGCGATCGCTGGCCATTATGCTTTAACACAGAAAAGAAACCCAGTTCCGCCTGGAATGGTCGACGGCAGGCTGAGGAGGGTCAACTAGTCCGTTACACGATTTTTGAAGCTTCACCTGCCGATATTTTTCCAACTGCAGCTATTGAGCGTCCCAAAGAGGCGGCAGAAGTTCCGCCAAAGGCCCCAACACCGGAACTTTCCCTGCGTACTGGCAGACCGCGCAGCCGGGATGCTTCTCCAGGACGATTTGGAGTTTCAGCTCACCAAAAGTCCCCGCGTGCGCGTCCTGGAGCATTCGCACCTTCACATTATACTGCACAGATAAATGTGCCACAAAAGGTGCTTCTTTATGAGGAAACGCTACAGAAAAGCCCACGCCTACCTCCACCCTGCGGCGTAGGTGAAGATCAAAAGGAAATGGAAGAAAAATGGAGTATATCCGCATCTTCCATCGGCCTTTCCAGCTTGTTCCATTCTGTCAACACGGCCACGGACAAAGCAGTATCGCCAAGTCTTTATCGTGGGCACGTTTCTTCAATGGTACGCGGTAACCCACTGGCTAGCTGGAGGTGCACTAATAATCTGCTTAATATACTCATCAATAAGCTTCAGACTGGGCCCGTCGTATAAACTTGGGATAGGTCAAGTGAAGCAAATCTGCATTCACTGCGAAATTGTTGGAACGTTGTGCACAAAAGCCTACGTTCCTAGCATGGGGATTTTCCAGGAGACATGCAAAGGTTCTTGTGCATGGCGTTGGGCGTTTGGGCAGGTAAGGGAGCCTGCGCGCACTTCTTCCTGTACAGGCCGAAGCTCATGCTCCCCAAAGAATCTGTCCGTACAGCTGATGGAAGGAGTACAGGGAGCGCAGGAGCTCCCGAATGGTAGAGAGGCAAGGTCCTGTACTGACTGCCGCCCCGTAGCCTCTTTGGTAGGAGCTAGTGAAGCGACTGAATGCAATGGCGCTACCCAACAAAGCCACCATTTGCCGGAGAAAGGAGTTTCCACCTGTGGTGCTGCCTTGCAATTCACTGGCCACCCTGTTGCTCCTGCAGCTGAGCAACCAGGAGACCTTTCCCCGCAGTCGGTCATGCAGAAGAAAGAGCCGCGGACGATGGATAGTCGCTCTCTTGGTGAAGTCGAGAAGTCAGTTCTTCTCTCGGGCCGTAGCGATGGGTTGCAGGCTTGCCCCCCACCTTCGCCGCCGACATTTGCTGCTGCACCATCAAACCTGCAAGGCTCCCGAGAAACTTCACGCGTTTCAGACTCAGAGCCACAGTGTGATCAAAACCAGCAGCAACAACAAGGGCTGCAGGAGCCTGTGCAGACCAGCGGGGGGAGCGGTGTTGGCGACGCACAAGAGCAACAGGTTATTGAAAATTTACCTACGAAGTCGCTCCCGACCTTCACCAAGGAGGAACTTCTCCATGAAGACGCCAATGACTTCAATCTGGAGAGTAGCGTACTGGAGGAGAAAGCCCTGCAAAGAGTGGGAAATGCCAAAAAGGGTAATTTCATTCCAAGCCTTGCAGACGCTCTACACGAAGAAGTCAAGCATTCTGAAACGGTTGCGGTTTCAGCTGAAGACAAGTCAGCAGCCCCTACGCAAGCATCAACTCGAGGAGCAGCGAATGCTGTCTCACGTCATCCCTCTCAGAAAGCTGCACCGATCGGAGATGCCTCCAGAGGTACGCCGCCCTGAGGCCCCGCGTAAGAGGTAAGCAGAGCAGGCGGCACGATCCGCTTGGTGTCCTGCTACAGAACTTGACCACCCTGAGTACTGAGCCCCTCATGAATTCCCGTGATTTGCTCTCACCCAGCACCACGGCCTTGCCAAAAACGTGGTCTCGGCTGGGTACAGTGGCGGTGATAAGTTAGATTAACATATCAAAAGGTATCGACGCCGTCCCCAATCGAGGCTTCACATATGTGGCACCTCAGGCATACGCAAAGCGCGCTCTCCAGATGGTCTCCAGCCTCGTCGACGGGCGAGGAGTGATGTGTACCAGGGTTATGCTGGAGACAAGGGTATTTTCAACTCCCATTGCAGGGCTAGAACATCCGTGAGACAGAGATTTGCTTTTGCGCCAACGTGTGTCTCGCCAAGAAAATCGAAGTCCCGGAAGTCCCCTCAGCGGCACCTTGAGTTCCTCATCACCAAAAGTACCCCAGAGAACAATGTTATAGGCTGCTCAGTTCCTTCTTGTGCCGCTTCTTGTAGTCAAGAAGACGTACTGGAAGTTCCTCCCCCTGAAGTCTTTAAAATCAAGCCGCAAGCTGAAGTGGAATGCCGAGAGGTTCCCACGAAAATGCCTGAAGTTCAGACGGCCACGATGCATGACCATGCGAAGGAGCCACTGACCAATCATGACGTATTTCCCGTGCTACTAACAGCTAGTTCCGGTTTCGTGCTTGATAAAAATATCTGTAGAGAAAATAGCAGTAGCAAAGATAAGTCCAGTGAAAAATCCAAAATCAAGTCAGTAGCGGGAAGGAATACTGTCATCGATATAGTAGAGTTGGAGGGTGACCATAGGCCGTGCTTTCCTGCCCGTGATGAAGAAACATCTGTTCTTGAGAATCGCAGTGACGCATACTCCATACCTGGTAACCTCAGCATACAGCTGCCTCAGATACCGAGCCTTAGCATCACGAACAAGCAGCTGTTTTTTGCCGACGGGCCACAAAACGTGGGTTTGGAGCAAGACGCTCATATAGGAAGACAGCTTGGAAGCGCTTCCCACCAACTGGACGGTGGTGATCAGGAGGACAGTGGACCAACGGACACAAGCGCAATACTGTCGAAGGACGACAATAGCCAAAAAAAATCGGAAGATGGTAGCTGCTCTTCACGCGGGCAACAACATGGCCAGCAGCTCAACAGTGGAAAATATATTGGCGAGCCTCGGACCTTCGTAGGGTCTGCGATAGATAGTGATGGACTGCCTGAGCTCGGAGAGAGCCCCCTAGTTCTCTCCCAACCGGAGAGGATTTTGGAGGATTGTACACTCATAGGAAAGCTAACTGTAGAAGAGACCGCACATTATAGGGCTAGAGACGCTGATGACCACAGCGTTTTGTCCACAGATGACGGGCGTCGACATTTGGTACCGCAGGGAATTGCCTTTGGCCTCTCTGGCGGCAAGAAACTATACTGGCGAAGTACTTCCTGTGTAGATCCGAAGATCCACAGCGTCGAACGGCTACCACTCCGCAAATGCGCACTGCAAAAAGCATCGAAGCATATTTCCAGAACGCTTTCATGCGTTTTGGGACATGCAAACATTGCTGCTCCGCCATCAGTAGCATCGCGAGAAGTGGCAGCCACCGAAACTGTGCTGTCAGACCTTGCAGAGGTGGCTTACCCCAAGTCAGAAGCCACACTGCGTGCATCAGTGGCAGTGGAAGCGAACGATGCACAAAGCAGTGCAGTGGCTTCATCAGGGGAACAATCACATCATCTTGGGCTGGCGCTAGCGGACGAAGCTGGCAGGCATGTAGGTGACACTACTGCCTTCCGCGAATCCGTGCGAAATGATGCAGTCGCTGACGTTACTGGCAAAACCGAAGCCCTATCAACTGATGTTTCTCCGCAGCTTCCACGCCTATGTCAGGAAGCATGCTTGAAGGAAGATATCTGTGGAGGCACTGCGCGTGGCCATGCCGTACGCAGCAGTGGTAGACGCAGCTTCGGCAACCATAGTAGATCGTTCTCGCTCAACAGAGCACCAGGCCTTTCCCACCCTGTGCTTAGTCCGGAGGATGATTTGTCGCGCTCGATGCAAGTTGATTGGCCTTTGACAAGTCGTTCGTTTTCAGCCATAGTTCCATTTGTCTCTCCAAGGCATGCTGCGAGGTCTCAAAACGCTTTGCTAGGTCTGCGAGCAGCCTCAAGCACCCGCATACCCAGAGGGAGGTGGCACGGTGGGGCTATAACTCTTGTCAAAAATTCTGATGCTGAGGAAAGTGGTGTGGAAGCTTTTAAGACTAGAGAGGGACACGGTAAGCGAGTCAGTGATGCCGAAGAGGGGATGTCATGCAGCATTGCCAAAGAGGCTATGCAGCAGTGTGCACTACAGCAGGCAGGGGCTTTTGGAATCGGGCCTTCTGATCTTGTGCCACATCGCGTAACAACCAACAACGAGGCATCTCATAATTACATAGCAGAACTGACCACACAAACAGCAGGTGCCTCTGAACGTTTCCATTTGTGCAACGGAAGCTTTCGAACTCTGCAGCAGATCGTGCACTTGCACTTCCCTGCAAAGCAGCAGAATAGCGCCACCTACATAACATCCCCTGTGCGCTGCCCAGCTGTCGGAGCAGAGAGCAACGTGTTCATGGAATGCTCGCCTGAAGAGCAGAATCCTGCTCACACCATCCAGGTTCAGGAAGACATTGGTATTCCCAAACTGCAGCATAATCAAGGTGACGGAGCATACGAAAGAGACAAAGGCGACTACTGTCCTGCTACTCACATTTCTGCGCATTGTTTCCAGCATGAAAGCGAAGAACCCCACATACAGGAATCGTTGCACGTTCGTGGTCGCAGCATCCTCCGTGCCCCCAGGAAGCAGAGGAGGCAAGCAACTGGAAGCCACAACGCATCTGCGAGCGGATACTGCTGCAGCAGGCTACATCGGTACAGGGGACGGGACCGTGCTTACCATCCATATCCTGGCAGCCTATTGTGGAATGGTCGGCTGCTGCAGTTCGAGCTGCAACATCAAAAGCGCGGGATGTTGCTACTCCCAAGCTGCTTTTCTGACGCTTTGTACTTGAAGCAGAATGCTTTACGGGACAGATTACAAAGGCAGTGCAAGCACGCGGAGTTGCTGCAGCAGCAGCTTACTGTGCAGCAAGAGCAACTCCAAATGACAATGCAGCTTCAGCAGGCACAACTAGATCAACAGCGGAGTCAGACAGCCTTGTGGAGAAGCTGTATCAGCAGTGCGAACGCGCTGAGAAGATCAAATTTGGGACGGAGCTTGAAAGTAGGTTGCATACAACGCCGAGGAAGAAGTTTAGGTCGCAGTAGACAAAAAATTTCAGGGCTTATTGAAGCAGCAGCAGCAGCAGCCGCTGCAGCTGTCGCCGCCGTCGGCGCATGCGAACAGCGAGTACAGGCCCTACTTTCTAGCCCTCAAAATGTCGCGCCACCTCCACGTGAGCCTGTAGAAAGCAGCAGAGAGAATGGACAAAGTGCACTTCTCGCGGCAAAAAGGAATAAGGTATCTGATGTGCAGCACCAGCTACTGGCAGATCGTACGTCGCTTGGAGGACAGATACAGCAAGAAAGCCATGGAATAACACAGGGGAGACTCGTTGACGGCGAAACTTTTCGGGCTACCTCAGGCGATTCTTCTTGCGTTGCTAAGGCGTCGAACAAGCTAAATGAGGGGAAAATCCAAAACACTTTGTCGCCTATTCGTGAAGCAGCCACCGCATCTACCCGGCCGCCATGTGACATAGGAGCGGATGAACGAAATAAAACAAAATATTGTCCGATGCTGGGTCATATATCGCAGCCAACACCTGCTACAGAAGATGCAATTACTCCATATAAGCCAAGTCCACATATCCCAAGAGTCGAGTTTCAGTGTGCATACGTAAGACCTATTGCAGGATTGGAGCCTCCGCTTCCATCACCAGTAATGGAAACGCCTGCAGAAGTCAGCACTGCAGAAGAACACTCATACCACGAAGATACAATTAGACGAAATCATCCAAGCCCACACATCCCAAGAATTGAATCTGGGAGTGCATACATAAGACCTATTGCAGGGCTGGAGCCTGCGCTTCCATCACCAGTAATGCAAGTGCGTGCAGGAGTCAGCATTGCAGAAGGAGAATCATATCACCAGGCAGGCTTGGCATCGGCATGTAGACTGACGAATGCACGTACAGTTGCTGCAACTGGACTTCAATTTAACGAAAGCAACTCCCCCTGTTGGGAAGGCATGCATACGGATATTATTCGGCCAGCACGTTGTCCAGCAGGTAGTGCCGTTCTTCCCAGTTGTAGGGGTGTTGGCGAGACCAACACTTTAAGTATGAGACGATCTTGTACAGACACTTCACCTCTGGGTCGAAAAGTTGAACCTAGGAACAGCATTACACCACTACAATGCAAAGGAAGTAGAACGAGGAAACAATTTTACCCGGTAGCTTCTTGCCACGAAGGAACAGATGTGCCTTTATTGGAAGGCGTGCAAGGCACGCCAGGAAGGTATGGCTGCAAAGCAGTACCCGTGGCGTATCAGCGGGATCCAAGCATCTCAATCTTTAACCAACTGTTTACAGATAGTGTGCGTAGGCAGAAAAATCTCATTCTTCTCCGTACACAGAAGCTTTTGGAGGATAACATTTACTTCCGGCTAAGAAAAACATATACAGGGCAGGACAGGAAGAAGACTAAATCTAGGAAGACCCTGCAAGCTTCAGCGGGAAGGTTTCCTTCTCCATGCAGCCTGGATAAAACGAGGAATTCGGGCAAAAAGTGTGGGGTTCTCTTGAAGCATGGCGTGAACATTTGCTGTGATTCTCACATTTCATCACAAGACACACAGCTTTCAGCACATGCAGAAGGTGCCGGCGTAGCAAGCATGATACGGACAAAGCGCTGCCTCAGCTCTCTTAGTAATGGGGGGAAAAGTAATGCAACTAGCAGATATGAGCAGTCGGTGCCTACCTTCGACGCAGATATACATCAAACCTGCCTGTATCACAGCCCTATGCTTGTCTGCCACACGGATGTACCAGAAGCACCGCAAAGGCAAGGAAGACAAACGCAGTCTGCTGATCCAGAACAATCAGCACCCTTTTATCTGCCTCCTGTTCGCAATGTATGCAGAAACAGTGCAGCGGCAGTCGAGGCAGAGAGCATTTAGTGACTTGCAATCAGAGGTTGACCTTGACAAACACGTTGTATCCTTGTGTAGATTGCGCTAGGCTCTCAGTAGGGGGAGACCCAATGGATTTTGCATTGGCAAAAATTAGCCTAGACTAGACGCACTACGCTGTAGTATATACTTAAATTGCTTTTATTCGTAGAGAGAAACAACGTTGCGAGCACCAGCAATGCTGGCGTTGGACCTCAGGTAACAGCATACAGTATTCAAAGCAAATGAAGTTTGTGGACAGCATGCCGAGTAACAGTGCGCTGATCTGAGTTATACTGGCAATGACGTCCGTTCTTTGGCTGCTTGAATACCCTGCTAGGGAAACTCATGTTAGGCCTGCTTCTCAAATGGCCAAGGAACAGAACTACTTTTGCCAGGGTCGAAAAGCTAGATGTTTTTGGCAAATCGCCTCTCTAGAACTTCTTGGCAATGCATAAAAGGCAATAAAGGCATTGCAGTTTAGATACAGTGACGGTAACATGACAGCCACAAGGGTCCCTGCTGGTACGCGTTACTGGTGCCAGGCAAAGAGGCTAGTGCCCTAGAAATTTCTGTGCAATCTTTGTTTTCAAATGTTGTGATCAACTAATCCTGTATTTCTCCTTCCGACCGGCTCTTCACAATGTGGCTAACACTGTTGTTGAGATAAGTGCAATCCTCGGACGGTCCACTGCGACAGCACCGAAGTCACGCCGTTTGAGAGTTGTTATCATTGTATTTTGCTGGAAGCTTCACCGTCTCTCTAAAACGTACATCAGAGGCCTTACTCAAGGCATCTGCGTCTGTGGCGAGCTCACATTATGTCCCTTGCTGAATTTGTTGGTGCCGCAATTATTTCGCTCAGGCCTAGCTAGCTCATTCATACAATTCATCTTTATGTGGATATCATCTTGCTCGAATCGCTCTTGGTTTAGAGCAATAGGAGCTGTACATGTTGTAAAAATTAGGAAACAACGCACTAGGGCTATCGGCCTAAGCTCAGTAAAGGTCTTTTGTCGACTGCCTGTATATTGGTCAATTTCAGTACATCGACTCATTTGTTTAGCCTACCGCGCTTGCTCTGTTGACACTTTGCCAACATATGAATGCCAAGTATTGTTTAGCGGCATCCGTTGAGCCTGCCGTGCAGAGGTAGTTCTTGAAGTAAAACTGGGGCCACTGGCGCAGAGGCATAATAAAACAGACCTTGCGGAAACAACACGGTGACGAACTTTTCGCGCACACACGTTGTCCCGTGAACTGATATGGAGAAAACGAGCGAATTGTTGCGAAGTTTGCAGAGCTACTCGTCAGATTCAACAAAGGCCTCCGCTAGTGGTAAATATAAGGGCAAAGAAAATTTGGATCCGATGGTTTCAGCAAATGGCAAAGAAACATATATATTGTTAGAGACTGCACTTGGTGGGTATGCTGATGCGATACTCGCAGGAAAAACGGGAGAAGGGTGCACGCCTTCTAGATATGTTCGTGTGAACTCGCTGGCAGGTTTCTTTCTACACTTGGCGAGGCCACGCCTGTCCCTTTAGGCCGCTTGCGGCTCTGAGGTTGTTGCTGTTGCTGCCACCATGGTGGAAGAGCCTCAAACGTTAAATCAGGCGCCTTAAGCCGCCGAGCAATATATTTTGGCGTGATGATATTACTATATATATCTCGCTGCTGCTGCGTGAGCGCCTCGAGCCAGAGTCGTTTAAGCGCTCCAAGGTACTGAGGAAGGGTAGGCGGACATACTTGATCTCGACACAGAGACAAGACAGACCACATCTCCAGGCAGAACAAATCGAACCCTGCAGCGCCAGCATCGGAAGTTGAAAAACAGTTGACACAATCCTTTCCGATCCTTGCGGTGGTGGGAATAATCAGGATATGAACAAAACAGAACGCTGAAGAGCATGAACACTAAAATGGTTTTGAACAATTCCGAAGAAAAACATGATCTTGCATCGGACCCGCATTGCTACATCATAGTTTTCAAGAATGGAAATGACAGAGCGCGCCAGACTGCGATTTGATGATACAAGGCGTTGCTCTTGCAAGAGATTTAATTACCTGTCATCTGTGGTCCTACGTGTGGCAGAAGAACCGACGCCGTTTCCTCCTCTCGAGGTTGCTGTACAACTCCACGGCAGAGACTAGCTTTAGCCGAGCACAACCGTATGTCTCCGTCTCGAGGCATTGAGGGAGTTGCTACGGTTAGCTCCCTGCCTCCGGCCGTAGACCCGGCAGGAAGTTGTAGGTGAATTGGACCCTCGCTGCTGCCTCCTCTCCCCGTTGCAGGTCCGTCCCTGACCTCTGCCTGATTCCCTCCTCTGCGGGCCCCCCAAAAGGAAATGTTTAATCTTATACCTGCTGGCTCAGGCGCTTCCAGAGTTTCTAGATTTTGTTCGTGGCGACGGCTGTGTTGTTGCTGTTGCTGTCGATGGTGGTGCTGCTGCTGTCGTTCAAAAGGAACGGCAGGGTCGCACACATAAGTGTAAGAAAGCCGTTCTCTCCAGAGCTCTGCACATACAGAAATGACAGCGGTCAAACCGATGTTGTATATTGCAGGCCAGCCAATAAAATGGGACCAGGCACCAACCACGGAAATCCTGCGAGATCACAGAAGTGCTTTCAAGGGGCACAAAACGAGCTTACCCGTTTTCTCCTGGGCGCTATCTGCCGCAGCATTGAAAACCCCTGCACAAGCACAGACATCACTGACACATTCGAAACCGGTAATCGCTGCAGCTGTCGCATCAATGACAGCGGCACACTTAGCGAGAGGCGAGTTGCAGCGAGTAAGGGAAGCTGAAGTGATGGAAATCATTCATAGGGCGTTCAGAAGCTGATAAATGGGAACGAAAAGCCGCAGGAAGTGGATCACTTGATCTAGCGGGTGAATAAGTTCCCACTCACCATCGACATGTAGGACATGCAGCCCCTTCTCATGTTCTTTGTAGAATATGAACAAGGGGTGGTGGCAGAGGCAAATCCGAAACGTGGCAAGGCATTCAAAGTCAAGGTCAACGTACGCGTACTTGAAAAAAACACCGTGAGACCAGCTAGTGCGAGGGGAAGGAGAATACTGCAGCAGTTTCAACAAGGAGAGCCCGTCGTCATCTTCGTGCCGCTTCTGCATCCCGCATTGCGAGGATTGCACCTGTTCATCACGTTGCGCTGCTGCCGGGGCTCCTGTTATTGTATGTCTGGAGCTTTCGTTGACGGGAAGAGCAGGCAAGAGGGACTGAGCAGATGAGAACGTCTCGAACGCTTTATCACTGCAGCTGCCACTGGGGGCTGTGGGGGTGTTGCTGTCAAGTTCCGCCAGTGTGGAACCAAGACTGTCCACTGCCATGTCCAGCAGAAAGGACGTGACGCCCTTCAGAACTTGCAGCTCTGCGCGCTTGAGCCTGTACTCTTTTTCGGGAAATTCCTTGGGGAGCGACCTTGAATTCTCGGTTGTGCCGTTTTGGGTCTGCCTGGTGGCCTTTGTCGCGGGAAACAGAGTTTCCAGGCGTGGGTATACCAAATCGCCCAAGAGCGGAAGGTGCTCGCGAGCAAACTCGGCAACGTGCCTTCTGAGAGTTTCAGTGCTCAGTTTTGTTGCACCTTTTAATCCTGCACCTGGTGTCTCAACCAACCGCCGCCTCTTTGGACGGGGCTTTACGCCTGGCACTGCCGCTGGTGTCCTCTCTGCTTTCGGTGCCTCTCTGTCTTCAGCGTCGCTTGGAGACGGCCTCCTCCGTCTTGACGGGATTCCTTTTGCATCTTCTTGCTCAAGTTGGACTGCCTCTCGGTCACTTTGGCGAGCTTCAGTTTGACAGCTCTGAAGGGAAGGGGCATTGGATTCTAGTTGCTCAGTTTGTGCAAATCCCTGTGCCTCCGTCACGTACACTGTTCTGCGCCTGTCGGCAGTCTCCAGAGAAACTTCTGTAGGCGGTCGAGCAGCCTCGCTAGGGCTCCCTCGAGACCCTGCCAGTCCACGCAGAGTAGAGGGTATTGCACGCCACAGCCAGGACCCAGCCTGCGCTCACCGCACTAATGTTGCATGCAAGATGCAGTATCTGACTACGAGGCGCAGGCGCCTGGCGGTAAAGCGGTAGGCTATGCCATTAAAACCTACCTGCTGGACCCTTTGGCGACAGGAGCTCGCGGCCGTCTTGCTGGGCTTGTTTGAGCATTGGCCCTCCTCATGGAGGAGCATTCGGCTAAGATCCAAAGTCACGTCACTGCAAGCGGCCAATGATTGCTTTAGGTGCTCTGCAGACTCTTCTTCCGTCGCGCGGGACGATGTTGCTGTATTGTCATGACTTTCATCTCGTGAATCCTGATGCAGACAAGGTAAGCGAGATTTTCCGTGCATATGAGATGCTACGCAAGCAAGGGCACTGACGTTGTAACATAGAGTCGCCACCTCTCTGCTGCTGCTGTTCTATGGTCCTGCTTAGGCTTTCGCCAGCAAACACTTTGCTGGCTGTGTAGGCCTTTTAGTCAACACTTAAGACAGGGCTGGGAGGCAGTAAGAAACGCTCCCGTTACATCTGCTGCCCTTCACCTTTTGCGGTCCTTCAAAGGCTTGCTCCCCTTCCACCCCGTTGGCCTGCACAGCTGCAGTGAGAACGGCGATGCAAGAAAGAGCCTTAAGTAATGAATTCACAGACGAGCATCACGCGATTAGCCATGAAACCTCATTATTTGCAGCCTCAAGTATTATTTACGCCACTGAAACCACGAAATGAAGAATAATGCAAAGAACTAGAAAGCTTCAGCTTACTTAGGGTTTCAGCTGCCATCATATCCAAGCAAAGCGGATCTCTCTGGCGTTTTATTTCATTGACAATGGCCCTATTCCTTTTGTTGTTGCCAAGCATCAGCAACTGCTGCTGCAGCTGCTGCTGCCGCGCGTATTCTATCTCGGAGACACTGCATGCTCCGCAATTGAGAAGAGCGTATAGTTGAAGATGTATTTGGCCTAGTCCGTAATTGTTGAGTCCTGCACTTCGTCGTAGGGTTGCTTCTTCCAAAGGAGCTACCAGTGGTTCGCACCACGAGCAGCAGCTGCTGCTAATGAAGGCGCTTTTGGAGTGGTTTATATGTATGTAAGCCTCCGGATGAATTTGTGCGGGGCCATTGAAATTAAGCTTTTGTAGAGACCGTAGCTTCCTACTGCTGAAGAGGAACAAAAGCTGCAGCAACTCTGGTGTAATGGTCCATCCAAGAGAGAGACGGCGCAGGCTGCAAACACACAGAAATTCTGAACTCTGCATCGGGACAAGTAGGCATTGTGAGCTTAACTGGCTTTGCGACCTCTGGCTGCAGTGAAAGATGTGTTTTGTTCTAGAAAAATTTTAACAGGTAATCCCAATGCGTGATGCTTTCCAAAAGCATAACCCCTTACCATTTAAAGTTCAGTTGTTCGTGTAGTACTGAAAAATGCCGAACTTCTCCGTCCACGTCTAGCAGCTGCAGGCTTTCCGCTCCGACTTCGAGTAGATGCTGAACGGCCCGAACTAACCGTTCCTGTGTCACCTTCTCTTGTTCCTGGTCTTGCTGCTGCGTCCCAGCGCTGAGTGGAGGCCTTACTTCACGGGAAACCTGGGCATTTTGAAGCGAATCTGTTCCTACTGGCTGCTGCTGAGTTTGATGTTGCAGATGCGTGAGAGATGCAACAGGAGTAGTGTCAGTGCGTGACCCATTTGCAACATTGGTAGCCGTTCTGTAGAGGAGAGGATTTCCTGCTACTGCAGACAGCTCGGTCAGGAGTATGGCCCTCCTTCTCAAAAAGGCTACAGCTTGGCCCGCGAGGGGCAGAGGTCCCCCACTTGCTGCAGCATTCAAAAAAGCGACAGAGCTGTGCGTAGCAGTAGGCCTACACACTTGGAATAAAGTAAGCCATGACGCCTTAACTGAATACCCAACTGGGATGTACGTGATGGGCGTGTCTTTGACAGTGCAAGGTAGAGAGCTGCGTACTCCCACATAAAAGTCGTGAACGCTCATTTGAGACCTGCTCCTTGCGACGAATGATGCAAAGTCGACCGCTTTTGTGTAGGGCAGCTATACAGCTGTCACCTAGCATACAGTACGCCACTACTCTTGACTCTCCAGATATTGAACCTGCAGTTCGCCTTACTGCTGCTGAATCATCCTCCGCAACAGCTTCCATACATAAAGCTGGAGCTGCTTCCCCCAGCTGGCCCTTCAAGGGTTCGAACACGATTTCATCAACTTCCCACAGTGCACTACTGGCGACGGGTGGAACCGCGAAAGAGTGGTCATCAGCTGCGGAAAAGCCCTCATCGCCGCTATGCTCAGCCTGCAGCTTTCTAGAGCAACAAGGGCATGAATGCCCTTGCATAGTTTTGGGTTCCCGCCAAAGTATTCCTGTCTTCATGAGCATTAATCTGTGTGCAGAGTGGATCGAGAGTGTTGAGAAGCCCAACGAAATGGATAGGCCAGAGGTGACCTGTGCAAAAACTGCTCGCAAGTTATGTACAGCGTATAATCACCTACAGTAGGGAAGCAGCAGGAAGAGCTCATAGCCCGCAAAATCACGGCTTCGGGCTACAAATGTTGCCGTTGATTGCTTTAATCTATACGCATATGAATGCAGCGGGCTCCGACTGGAACACTGCAATGAGGACAAGCAGGGACCTGCGAAATCCTGGCTGCAGGCGTACTTGGAAAGGAAAGTCTATGTAGAGAGACTTAAGAAGCGGGAGAGAAGGCGGAAGCAGTATCGCCGGCACGTGTCGCCAGGCAGGCTGCACAGTCGCACGATAGATCATCAGCTCGTCAGTCAGAGCTCACAGCTAAGCACCTCAAGTACCGGAAAATTTAGTCCTTGACTCTTGAGAAATCACATCAAGATGTTAGTTCTACCTGCGCTTGTGAGCCTTCTGGACATGAGGCAACCAAAGCACATATTTAGCATTTAAAACCGCACAATGCATTGGCCGAGAAAAGTCCTTAATTATAGCAGCGCGATACTGCTGTGCATCGAGCAGAGCTCGAACGTATTGGGGAATATTCACACATACTGATGAGGGCGGCAGATCGACTGCGATTTTTATAGAAACAAGAGAATTGGCGTTCCTGTGCAACAGCATCTGTAGCAGGAGCAACAGCTCTGTCGCAGCTTGAATTTCTCCGGGATTTCCCGTAGGTGAGAGCTTGAGTATGGCGGAGACAGACTTCAAGTGGCAAAGAGCGCTGATGAACGGAGAAGCATGAATTGCTGTGTGAGTTGTCCAGGGACAGGGCAACGATTCTGGTGAAGATTCAGTTTTCTGCATGTCTCCAGCAGCCACTGCTGCGTCGCAGAGGGGTGCTTGCAGGCGTAGCAAGTCCAGTGCCCTTCCCTGTACCAGTCCATACGCCCAAGATAGACGAGACAGGGAGGGGTCCTCGAGAGGAATTTCAGTGGGGTATTCGCTTTGACTGCCTCTTCTTCCTTCTTGCTGCGTTGCTTGGTGGTGCTGGCTGCTAGTAGAAGTCCGTTGCTGCGGCTGCTGCTGCCTTCTTTCTCCTCGTGTTCCTCTTGGAGTATGTGCTTGCTCACTCAAATTGTTGCCACTTATGGTTCCTTGGTCATACACCGCATCTGTGGGTCGCAGCAGATTCCCTGCAGCAGCAGCAGCGGCAGCTGATGCTGCTGCAGCGGCGGCCCCTAAAAAGAGCGGAGAAGAGATTGCAGGAGTAAGCTCTATTTCCAGGGTCTTTAGGCCTAACAAAAAGGGAAGCAGCCTTTTTAGTACGGCTGGCGGCTGCGCAAGGAGGGAAGAAACGTGTCTTGCTGAAAGAGACGTGATGCAGCAGTATGAGGAAAGGACGCGACGAGCCTCCCAGCAGGTGGAGCCAAACGCTGCTACAGATCCAGGTGGAAGCAACTGAAGCACCTTAGCCAGAAGCAGAGGAGACAACTCAAGAATGTGGGCTGCGTGGAGGGGTTTAGTAGGTCCCCCCAAAAAAGGCATACCCCCACAACCGAACCGCGCCTCTAGCGCCGCAATCGCAGATTCACTGGTGGGTTTAGAGCACTCGTCAGCATCCCCCGGAAGGCTGGCGCGGCCTGGTGGCTCTCTCGTAGTGCAGCAGTCCCTTCTCTTCCTACCCCTGCGACCCCTGGCTGAAATTCCTCGGGAAGCCCGTTGACATTGCGCCTTTCGCCGCCCTTCCAGATGGCTTGCGGGGACATCTGTGGGAGCTTCTGCGCTCGCTCCGTCAGTGGAACCAGGAGGCTGAGCAGGGGCTGTGTCGCAATTTGCCTCACAGGGCTGCTGCGGCTGCTGAGCAGCAAGACTTCTGCGCTCAACAGGCTCTGATACGACAGGACCTGGAATCCCAACGGAGCTGTCTGGAGGAAATATAATTATCTCCGGCACAGATGTTGTTGGATTGACTGAGTCATTTCTGCCGTCCCTGCCTGCAGGGGGTTCTAGACTCGGATGACCCTCTCTCTGGAGCTGCAGCGGTTGCTGGCGCTGCTGATGTTCCTGGCAGACTTTTTCACACGGTGATACCATAGGGTACCTACGGGAAGAGCGTGTAGGGAAAACGAGAGTGCCTGTCTCTTGCGTTTGCAGATTGGGCTCTTGCGGGGCTGTAGCTTTTACTATGCGGTTTACTATATGCCTTGTTCTTGAGGATGTTGACGGAGTAGCTCCAGAGAGCTCAGGAGAGCTTCTCCAGTCCGATTTTAGATTGGCGCTCTGCCTCCGGGGAGAAGGCGTGCGGGTTGAGGGTCCGAAGAGGGCCAATGCCTCTGCATTGAGCTGACACTGGTCAGAGTGGCCTCCAGGGGTTTCCCCATGTGGAGGGTTAACCTCGCTGGGAGCCTCCATAGAATTTCGTCTAGGGGTCTCTAGGTGCTGAGACAGTTCGACTTGCTGGCGCTCTGGTGGCTGCTGTAGATTCTGCTGCTCGCGCTCCTGCTGCTGGTGCCTCTGGGGGTGCCGCATCTTTTGCTGCTTCTGATGCACTGCTTTGAATGTCAGTAGTTTCTACGTTCCAGCTGCCGTAAGTATTGGCTTGCTGCTGTTGCATATGCAACAAATTTGTCATGTGCCGTACCATGGGAGTAACGCGAAAAGTATTGCAACCTCATGGAGCCTCTGATTTTAGCCACCCCTCTTTCTCTACCGTAGCTCTTTCCTCACCCCATATGAGGCTCCTATATGCTACCCTATATACCTGGATTAATGGGGTCGGGAGGTCCGTCTCTGCTGTTATGGACGCTGGGCTGAGCCCGCCTAGAAATTGTGCCAACAAAGCAAAAGCCTGGGAAGGTATTGCTGCTGGGACATTTAAGTTGTGTGGCAGAGAGGCTCACTATGGAAACAATAGGGTCAATCAGGAAACCAATCAGTCTGCTTCTGTTCTACGCGCGACGTGCTGTTGTACTTTGGGAGCTGGGCAATGGAGCGGAACCTGTAGCCTTGCACCTGACCTGCTCGATCTATGTGGGTCTAGCTGTACAAATATGAAAAAATTATAGCTCAAACGCTGATTTAATAGCATAAAAAACCCCACCAAGTTAGCTGAACATCCCCATGGTGAGGCTTGCTGACTCATTTCAGAGGTCTTGCCTGCCCGCCTCTCCCGTTGCAGCAAAGACAAACATACTGCGTGGGTTTTTTCGATGGGCAGGGGGACCCCAAATGCCGACAGATAGAACGGTGTAACTTAAAGGTCTATGGTACTAGGCTTTGAAGCTGCACATAAACTATGCTTATGGAGGTGACCCTGGCACCCTAGAGTCATGCGGTAGGCATTGGGGCCCATCAACGGCCTTTTCTTCGAAACAAATAAATAAATTCGCAAGAAAGCAATAAAGAGCGACGATAGTGTTTATTATGTGTGTGATGTTGGTGACAGAATTCGTATTTGTGGGTTTTTCGTTTTTTCCTGCGACAGTGGTTTCCTTCGCTGTACACATACGCCGCCTTCTGGCTTCTTCGCAACTTGCCCGCGCTGTGTTGACAGCGCAGCTACAGTCCTTTGGCAAAGGTCTTTGCGAAGCTTCGGCACAGTCCTGTACACACTAGCAGGGTGTCCAACTGCAGAGGATACAGTGGCTCATGCTAGGCGGGTCTGCATGCAGTAGCAGGTTAACAAAGCGAGCTGTTAAAGACTGCGCAGTTATAAGCAAACGCTGCGGCATGTTGCAGTGAGGCCAGCGGGCGAAATTTACTGGTCGAAGAGTTGAGCTTGCACTCAGCAGTGTCCTCTGCTTCGCGTATCTGTCGCCAGCTGCGTTCTAATTTCTCTATCTGCGTGTACAACTAGACTGTACAGCGTCCAGAGCCCCACAAAACAGCATAATCTGTAAAACTCCTCAAGCTTAAGGTGTTTCCCTGATTTGCGAGCTCACCCATATGGCACCATTGTGTCCACTTCGCCCACATAGGCAAGAAGTCCCTGTCCTCGTGTTTGCTTGCGGGCCTCTGCAGCAACATACGTAATCGCTAATCTAATACGTAGACACGAAGCCCTAGTTATTTTTCAGGGAGCGCATAGCGGCTAACATTGTTGTGCCGTAGGCTGAGTCAAAGAGTTCCCGAATTTTGTGCCAAGCAGCAACGTGAACTTCATGAGGCACCTTGATTTTCGGAAAACGGAGAGACCGATATTGGCCAACGTCTACACCCCTATCTGACTGGCCTAGCACCACAATGCAAGAAATCACTGTTTTATTGAGGTAATGACAGATTCGAGGGAAGGTATCCACCTTGCTTTGAAAAGTTCGCAGCAACTATGGTTCCTCAAATGCGCAGTTTTCTAGCGAAAGCATGCGAAGTGGTATACCGTAATTGAAAACCTTTTTGTGTTACATATTTTCAGCAGATGCTTAGTTGTTTTTCCCCGCTGAAGTGACGGTTTCCCCGAGAGCACTGCCTCCGGAATCTTTTCTGAATAAAATATGTTGTGAGCAACCAGTTGATCTTGGGGAATGAGAGATTCAAAAGGACCTCAAATACCAATAAAAAAGGGCGTGAATGCAAATTGCCCGCTTGGGGTGCTCTTGGCATAAGTCACAGAGTTGGTCCCCCAGCTTCAACTATAGGGTTGCCAGGTCTTCATAAGAATAAGGGACTAACGGGAAGCTCTGCCCCTGGAGTCCATGCACTGCTTTCCCATTTAAGCACTTGAAATATAGCCTTTTAAGCTCGACCAATGGGAGCGGCTTCTCATTTTTCGATGGTTTCATGCCATCGTCGTTGCGCCTGCAGTCCTAACATTGCACTGTTTGTAGCTTCCGTAATGCCGCGGCACAAAATCGCTGGTGACGCATAAAGAGCCCCTTAGTAACAGTGCGTGAACCCTACTTAGTCCAATTTTCTCAAATTCTGGCACACCAGGCTGTTCATGCGGTGGCTGCAGGTAGGATATTTCATAACATATCCGAGCTCATGTTTCCAGAAAAGCCGTCAATTCTTGTAAAGGTGCCTCATTTATAGGCCTCTTGAAGATATGTGCAGAAATCGTGCACTCAAAAATGTAGTATATACGCATGCAACCTCATGTCAGAATTGTTTTTTCTGGGATGCATATTCCGGTATTCTATCATGTAGTTATGCTACAGATACAAACTGGTGCGCCTGACAAACTGTCTGTCCTTCCGTTTGCCGTGCAGTCGTTGCACACAATGGAATCTCATATTCATCTCAGTGCAGTTGAATCACATGCTTAAAGGGGATCACTGTGGCTTTCATATGGCTGCTCCAAGAAAAATGCCGCTGGACCCGCTCCGCGCTGTTCTCGTTTAAGGTGTTGCTGCTTGTTTAAAAAAGGCAGCAACTGCCTTCAATGCAGTGATGAGGCACTTCCAGCTCAAGTAATGTTTGCAATATTGGGAAAAAGATACTTCTTTAGCTCTATTAGTCTCCTGAAGCCGTCCACAGCCTTCCAGTCGAGGTGACTGCTGCGCGAGATAGAATGCCCCATTTCGGAGCGGCACTCACTGCCAAGATATTCCATCAAGCGATACGATTGAAGCGCTATGGAGCTTACATCTAGGAGTCTAGGTAAGTTCTCCTCGTCATCTAGCAAATTAGGAACAGTCCACGGACGGAGGTGAACTCTCTGACGCTGCATTGTAATCAACAACAAGCTGACAGTTCCTCCGCGATCAGCCGACTTGATTTTTCAGGAAAAATATTGCTTCTATTGGGAAATAAAGTTTTATTTGAACATCGGTGGGGATTAATTATTACTGGAAGGCAACGTATGCTTTGCGTGTCTGGGCTCGAACCGTTGCAAGCCGTGGGGCCATGTTTAATCGCAGCATGGAAGACTATCCTTTCCCTGTTGAGAATTTTGTGGTAGCGGTACAAAACCCGAAAATAGAGCCTTATACAAGGGATTCCTGTACTTCCGACAAGGTCTGTCGAAGCGCATCTGCCCCCATCAGACGAGCCCGCTGCCGAACTGGATGCGATCAAAAGTGACCCAACGCACAACACACCGAAAAACCACCATCCTCTGCACGCATTTTTACCATGCAAGTATACAGTTCTAAATGGCAGTATATTTGAGGCCTTTGAATCTGCAGAAACTCTCCCTAATAATTGATTTCGTGGGGTCACCGCGCGGTTTCGCTGAACCAACGTTTGAGCCTTCACGCTTGATCTACGCAGTAGACACCGTCTTAAAGTAGTCAATGCATCCAGGTAATAAATGGAAAAGGTATGCATATGGAGCTGCTCAATAATGCTCCCGCATCTTCATGCTAGATTGAGGGGATGCCCAGGATAGCACACCAGTGTGATTAAGAGTGCTATGTATAGATAAGCCTCTGCCATGCAGCTTTGAGGAATTCAACAGGACGAAGTGCGCACTAGCGTTATTTTTGACACAGCAGATAGGCAGAAGACGAGAGCCCAGTAGTGCTGAGAAAGCTCCACTAGTTAACCACGGGGAGCAATCCTTGGCAGCGTAGGCCTTGCTCTAGTTGGTGTGCAGTCCCATGGATGTCTCTGTGTAGGTTCAGGACACAACTGTAGCAAGGAAGCCTCCTAAACTCTTGTGAGTGTCTTCTGCGAAGTGTTGGGTGCCATGATCCCACTCATCCCTCTCCTTGTCCCCCCGTCTAAACCATTCCCGACTTTCTGAGATGACATTAAGTGGACCTCATCCCCAATAAACCAGGCCACAGATTGGAAACTATATGCCTTGGAAAAGATGCCAGATTTTGCTTCTGACACAGCGCAAGAAGATCAGGGGGATCACGGGGCCGCGACAACCCACTGGAGCTCACTTGGTGAGGATGCAGGGACTGCCTGTGCAGCAGTTCCAGCAGCTGGCTGCTGCGCTGTGCCTCAAAGAAACTTGCATGCATTCTCATGTAAACGCTACGGAAAAACTCGTAGGTGATGATACGAATTCATGTTTTAGGAACACTTCAAGGTTCTGGCATAAATGAGGAGTTTCTGCGTCACCTTGAGGATGGAACCTGTGTTCACCAACCAGCGAGTCACGACTCCACACTTCCACCCGAAGGAACAGAGGTATACGCTTGCAGTAATATCCCGAAAAAAACATATTTCGAAGGCACAGAGCTTATTCATCGGACGAGGCAGTGAACCACGGGCACTGCCTTTGTGTCATGGACTGAGCAGCTGTTCACTCGATGATTGCTTATTCGTGCAGTGTTCGTGATGTGTGTGTTTTCCCATAGGAAACGTGGGAGCCCATTCTTGCTGCTTCAAGGGCAGAGGTAGGAGATGACAAGGCAGGAAATTAAATAACTAGGCGAAGTGCAGCTGCCGTAACGTGGACAGCAAGTGCATTACAGTCTAGGGAAGCGTGTTTAATGCTCTGTTTTAGGCCTCTCACCCTCCTGACCTGAAACTGCAAACGTGCTCCGCTCGGGATACTTCAGCGGCAAAGAGCAGCCGAAACAGGGCGTGTAGTGCCACAAGCACGCTGCAGCGGCAGCAACTGAGCAGCCCGCAAGACAGACAACAGGAACGCGTAACGGCTCGTCGAGAGCGCCAGCAGCAACTGACTGAGGCCCACAATGAATGGCGCTGGGCTGAACGCATGCAGCGGGCAGCTATGCACCGGCAGCGACGGAATTTGGAGCCCAACTTTAGGACGGTGCTGCAAATGCACCCAAGTCGTCGCTTGCCAACTTTAGATGGGCAGATCCGGCATTCGATCGGGACATCCTTTTGCCCGCATCGCCTCGCAAGCATCTACAATCTCTCTATACGATACTGGGATGAGGGCTGCGTTCGGCTTGCTGCCAGGACGCTCCAAGGGGCCTTGCAAATGCTGCAGCAGCAGGGGCTTTGGGGTGGCTGCGTTGCTCACACATGGGATTCAATGGAAATTTTGCGAGGCTCCAAGCAACTGCGACATGCTGAAGCCACGTGTGCTGCTCCCCCACATACAGACACCAGTAAGCGTAAGCTCGATATTAAGGACAGATACTTACGCTCCAGGGTGTTCTTTTCTCGTCGCATGTTCGTTGCAGCAGGTGAGCTGGAGCTTTATGCACTGGGAGAACCTCGTTATCCTTTTTTGCATACATTGAAGCTTCCAAAAGCATTGAAAATTTTTCCTCCTAGTGTTCAGATTTGAACCTCTCCTGTGAATGCAGAAAAGGAACTTGAGGAGGTGCGGGGCCACCTAGGTTCCCTCCTCTGCCGCGCCAGCCTCAGGGGATATGGCTCTGCAGTATCGAAAGAAGCAGTTCGACGCTGTTCGCGAATCAAGTAGGTACATTGACTCATCAGCACATGTGATACAGCGCAGGAAGTGGTGCATTTCTCCCGAAACGTACACCTTCGTTAGTTTTTTGGGAAACACTTGTAGAGAAACGCTGCAGCAGGTTCCAGTAACATGAAGCGACGGCAGCATGAGCGTCTTCAGCCAATTTTTACTGCGCCGGTTTCAGAGAGGCATTGGCTCGGGTTGAAGACGACCTGCTACTATTACAAGATCTGCAAGCGAGATACAGTAGCCCACAATCCTCAGAATGGGGCAATGACGTGCAACAGCGGCAGTTGCAGCGTTTAGTGCCACTCAACTTGATGCCCTGCATGAGCAAGAGAATTAACCTCCAGCATTACAAGAGGACTGCACACGGAGCTCCTGATTGTGTCAATGATTGCGAGCGATGGGCCCGAACTTTGCACGAGGTGCTGATTAGGCAAATTACGGCCAGAGACTACGTAGCCTACTGAAAAGTAGAAATACCTGTTGTTGGCTCAGTTCAACAAGTGATTTGGGGCTCAATGGGTGCTCAACAGGGCTTAAGAGCGAGCGGAAGCTGATCCAATCTATATGTGATCTGATCGAAAAGTGCTGGGCTCATCCTGTTGGCTGACGTGTAGTCGCGTCTCCTCGTCAGTTGCAGCCGATGCGCCCACTATACGCGCTTGCCGAGCTTAAACTGCTGTGCAGGTCCACTGCCAGTAAGGAAACTCGCAGACTGAAATGTGCCATGCATAACTTACGGCTCTGTGGTGGATTCTGCGCAAGTGCTTGCAGCAATCTTGTGGCAGAATCAATTATGGTATCCACGAACAGACAAAATTTCTTTTGCCTTCTTGCGATAGTCCGGACAGTTTTCTCTAGTTACTCGACACTCCAAAAGTGTCTTTAACTAGTCTTTCTAGAGAAGCACTACAAATATACGGATATATGCGACTGCTGCCAGTTAAGAACACACGACTGCGTAGACTGCCAAGAGTGAAAGCATGCGTCACTTTGAGGACGTACATAGTGCGAAAAGGCAGTAGAGGTTTTAACCGCTTGTACAAAGCTAGTGTCTTGCGAAGGAAAGAGACAGCAAACATATGACAAGACGGCAAATCGACAACAGCACAATGTAGTGCTGGGAAAAAGCAAAAGGGAAGCTTTGGTCCCCCCAGCCGATTTAGAAAACGCCTGTGCCAGAGTGCGCCATGAAAGGCGTGCTAAAAGACTCCTTAACGCACTGGCGAAAGGCTTGTTAACCACTATATTAGAACAGTGCTGTCGCCTCATCTTCAAACCTCCAAGAATTCGTCTCGAAGGCGCCGTGCTTCCCTTAGCCTCATCAGAGCCCGAAGAGGCCCCTCAACAACCTATGCCGCAGCCACAAGCTCAACCAGTGCTGCAGTGATCAGCCTTGCCTAGTTCCTAGACATTCCAACCATTTGTTTGGCCTGTTTGTAATCCGGAACTCATGGAAGGAGGGCGTGATTTCATTTAAGAAACGATTTGTGCCAGTGATAAAGCAGAAGAAGGGCAAATCTGCAAGTGGACCAGGGCAGCGTGTTACTCTAGGATCCTGTTTTTGTTGCTCTGCTTGACGCTCAGTGGCAGGAACGGAAGGCGCCCTTCTCTCAGCCGCATATTTCTGGAAAAGACAAAGCACATGAATGACGTTGATTTTGTGTGCTGGCTCATCGATCTGCGCTCTGCCTCACGCTTGGCAGCCAACACAACAGGAGCAAATCTGTCTCTCAGTAGCTAGAGGTTTCCCAACTTGTAAGTGTTCCTGCGATCTATATTTGCGCAGTGGTTGCAACCTATCCTAAACTGAGTATGGCTTTGATCATGCATCGTTTGCTATTGCTTGATATTGAGCGTGTCCAGGCGTCGAGTTGTTTACTTAGGCTTCGAATCAGTCACTTGTCTTTGGCTTTGTCCCGTGCCTACTCTTCTTCTAGGTATTCGCTTTGAAGCTGTTCTCTTTTACCAGTGGGCTGATTTTACTGTTCAGTATATTTTCAAGACACATGATGTGGACATCTCTATGATTCGTACTAGGCTACCTGCAAACGCGAGACTGTGCGTCGCCTAAAGGCTCGCAGCTCCGCTGCAATTCTCTCCTGAAAAGACAATTACAAATATTCAAAAAGGAGCTAGAGACCGTTGGCAAAGTCTCTCCATACCTGCAACTAAAGCGCCGTATATAGAGGGCAGCTGCAGAGAAAGAAGTGGAGAATCCCGGAAAATATGTGCAAAATCAAGTTTGCGCTCACGGGAAGTGTGGCGACACACTCAGCGACCCAACCAGCGTAACACACCAGGAATGCTCGAAAAATCGAATAACTTTGCAGTGCTTGGTTGAGCTGAGTCCCTTGGTATCTGTGTGCTTTTCTAAGGGCGTTCTATTCCTAACGCGCTATGGGACCTTGCCTTTGCTTCCCTCGACTGCCTGACGCTCTCCTCCGCGCGCATGCGTATTTTGTTTTTAATTTCTCTCTGCTGCCGTATCAGCTTCTGTTGCAGGGCTCTGCGGTGCTGAGCGCAGTATTGTTTTCTCTCTTCTGCCTGTTGCATCATTTTTTGCTGCAGTATGAGCTGTTCCTGTCTCTGTTCTTCTTGCTTCACTGCGTTTTCCCGTATCCGTTGCAAGGTGCGTTGCATAAGCTGCCGGCTTAACTCTTGGCTGCGTTGCTGCTGCTGCTCCTGTTCCAGCTGAAGCAACAGCGAGTCCTGCCGTTGTTTCTCTCTAGCCTCTCGTGCTCGTTGTCTTACTCGCTCCAGAGCTTCCCGTCTGAGGGCTCTCGTCTTTGCGTCATCACCTGGCACCAACATATTCCCGTCCCACTTCCAAGCACCTCCCGACGCATAGTTGCTGCTCCTACTGCGTACAACAGATGGTGCAACTGCCGCTTGCTGCCTGAGACGACGCCAGCTCAAAGGGTTTGACGTGCGAGTGCTGGAGCTACGGCGCTGAAGACGCATGAGTAGGCTCCCAACTGCCTGTGGAGCACTACGCCCTCGGGAGATATTTGCATCGTCAGTCTCTTTTTTATCGGGAGACGAATTAAAGGCACTCCTAGCTAGGGGACTTTCTAGAGCGTTGCTGCTGTGGGCCCTCCTTTGGGTAGAGGGCTCCACTGGGTCTCTGCAGGTTGAGGCTACGTCTTTGTGTGCCTGTCTTGGCTGAGGCATAGATTTGCTAATATCAGTGTCTGTGGAATCCAACAAGCATTGCTGAGTTTGGGGAAAGGGAGGGTTTCCTCCTTCCAGCTGTTCGGTCTCACGTGCTGCAGTGGGTGACCCTGTCGACGAAGGAGAGCATCGAGCAGCAGGGGACCACCCCCGCCCACCCATAGGGCTACTATTTCGACGGAAGACGGCCTTATGGCTACCCTTAGATCTCTGCGCATGCCGCGAGACTGAAACTAAACTGTTGGGATTGTGGCAGAGACCTGTGAAGCATGGGCTTGCAGACCCCTGTAAGGGTAGCAAGGCAGAGAGGGAGGACTGCCACGAGAGAGAGGACACATAGGGACCCTTGGAAGATTCGACAGAATATTGCTGCACCCTAACGCTTTGCTTGCCTTCCTGGGGCAGCAGCCGTGACTTCAGCGAATCATAGCTCTGCATGAGGTGTATGGCCTGTGGCGGTGGGGCCAAGTCTGGCCATGGTCCGAAGGCATCCACAGAGCAGTTCATCGCCGTAGATGCATTTAAGGACATGAAACAGTTCTTCCAATGGTCGACGCTCAGTACCAGCGAAGACAGACGCCAAATACTTGAGGAAGAGGAGTGCGGAGGCGAGCAGTAGCCCTCTCGTGGGCTTATGTGTTCTCCGATGCCCCAAACTAGGATAAACAAGGAATAATGAGCCCACTAAACGTTTTACATTCGAATCTAATATCTACATTTGGGAAAGCCACATTTGTCTTAGTTAACTGCCCGTGATTGTTGACCAGGGTCACCGGGGAGTCACCCACAAAGCTACTCCAGCCCAGCCCTCATCACCACTTGTACCCTCTAGACCCCTATTTCGCTAAAAAAAGTAAGATATATTTTCCTGCACAGATGTATGATTCCAAGACCAAAACTGGGGGATAAAGCTCCCAAAATAGTCGGCTTGTTGGTGCGGCCAGATATGGGGATATCTCCTCAGTTGCTCCGAGCAAAAATGCCCGTTCGCTCCTGATCTTTCGTAAGAAACAACAAATTACTTTACTGTCAGCAAAGAACTGGGCGCTACTGGCAGAGGAGCCAAGCAGCAGGAGAGCCGACAGAGAGCCACTTTTCTCTCTGTTGCTTCATAGTGTCTCCTCCCACGTGGGACTTCAAACTTTAGTCTCGAGGCGTCTTGAATCCTACGAAATCAAAGGTTGACTGATTCCAATACTGTAAATTTGTCGTCGGCGCTCGACAGGAAGCTTGAAAGCAGCTTCGATACTTCTGCACCAATCAACCTGCACTGAGAACCCCGAAGCACAGAAGCAAATGCACTGAAGGTATTGCCACAATGGAGGCATCTACACTTGAATTCGGTCTCAGATACATAAGCGGAGTTGGAAACACTCTCAACCATTATGAGCTGGCCTCCTTACAAATATCGCTTATGACTCTCCAAAAGAAGGAGGGAAAGGAAAAGGCGTTTTTCTGGGGCAGGATACAGGGCCAGGATGATGACTACTATATTGCTTACGTTCTTGAAGACAGCGAGTATATTTACCCGAAGAAGAAAATGTTCTATAGGTGTGGCACTTGAGGATCGCAGTGTTGCGACCCTCTCAAATTTTCTGGAGATGCTGCACGTGGGATCAACAATGCTACTTTGCCATCTACTCGGCCTAGCCTTTCATGAGCTCGATCTTACTTGTCATGTATTCGAAGGCTCAACTAATTTGGGCATTTTACATTACACTTGTCTGGTAGTGAGCCGGTGGTTCAACTCTTTCTTGCTAAAGCGCACAGTATCTTGTATGCACCTTGTACCCGCAGCACAAGTCGCTTTGAATTCCGGCCTCTTCCTGAAGGTACACTGCGTCTCTCTAAGGAACGTGTAGACCCTATTCTGCTTACGGGAGACCCTGCGCGGGTAGTTGAGCTACCCGGTGAGTGCTGATATATGCGAAGAGACGAGACACAAGAGAGCAGCAAATGCTTATCAGTAAAACAAACAGTGATGCAAAGAGGCACAGCCGTGATCTTCTGCTGAGCTTGCTTAGATGGTTCGAATGCACCTCCAGAAGAGCCCCCAAGCGACGAAGAAGAGGAAGGTAAGCTGAGCGGCAGAACTGCGAAGCGAAACATGGACACTCAAATCCGCATTTGGCAGAAAAAAAGCAGCAGAACTCATGGGCATTGATCCAAAGGTAGACAGACGTAAGGGAAAAATGATGCCTAGTTGTTTACATATCCACTGTTTCTGAATAGAGGGAAGCAAGAAAGACGAAGTAACGGAGGCCGACCTCTTGTCATTTTTAGTGCAGCGCATTGACTTCGCGACAGCAGCGGTGCCGCGGGGAGCTCATCGTATTCATGGCAGCAAAATCATTCCTGCCACGGAATTTCAAGGTTTGTGCATCTGCGGGCAATAATGTTCACAACGTAGCGGCTAGACTAGAGGACTGCTGCTGGAGTTCACTAGCTTTTGCTGGGCGGGTCGCGTTGCTGCCATGGGCATAGCATAGCGTACTAAGGGAAGCGGAGACGCTGTTCCCGATCTTACCAAAATGAATGTGGTATCTACAACATTGCCAACCTGAGAAGATTTTGTTTCGCATTGTGCAGGGCTTACTTACGAGGAAGCAGAGGATTTGTCCTCCTGGGTCCACTTCAGACCAGCTGAAGATTGTAGGCGGCAGACACGCGAAGCAGTAGTTTCAGCAAAGAAGGAGTGTTGTATAGAGGAAAGAAACACATGCCTAATCCGACGCACATGATATATATATATATATATATATATAATATATATCATATATATATATAATATATATATATATATATATATATATATATATATATATATATATATATATATATATATATATATATATATTTATATATATATGCGTGCCGTGTAGACGCTTACGCAGAGTCATCTTGATTATAGTGTGGATTTCTATATGTTGCAGTAGAAGCATTGAGAGCGCAGACATCCACAGATTATCAGGTGAATTAATGGCGCTTTCCATCTCTGGGAGATCTTTGTACGCTAGCTACACCCCGGTGCACAGTCGTGCCACTTTACTAAGAAGCTTCCTGATAAACCAAATACACGCTTGCAAGTATGCCGGTTACTGTGGGCCCTTTGCAGTTTAATGTCGACTTCCTCGAGCCCTTAAAATACGACATCCCTAGAGGTCAGTCGACACTATTCCGTGTTATGCATCTGAAGTAAACATGATCTTGGTTTGCGCAGCAGTTACAAGGCTAGGCTTGTCATCTCAAGAAGGCTTTGGCAGCTTTCATACTAGTGCCAAGCCTCACCAATAAACATTTCAAAGCAAGCCAACTCCACTGACCTTTGCCTGCAGCTACAGACCTTCACAGACCATGATCAATTTCGGTCTTTCCAATACTCGCTGCGCACAGCTTCTTCACAGAGTCTACAATGAATAGTTTGTGCTTCGTGCAGGTTCATGGGTGACGCGGTTCGATCCAGTCACGAAATGCGTCACTTTAAGGAGTCTGATGTGGCCAGGCAAGCACTTGTAACAGCTAGAATGGTAGCTACCTCTGAATCTCCAATGACGCAGTAAGGATCAATAGCACAGACGCAGCTGAACTCACAGCGCCAATTTTTGCCCTCAGGAGCTCTGATCTATTTTCAGGTTACGTTGCGTATACGATTGTCAACACCCCCACTTTTGGAGGGCTGTACTTCGGGGACGGAGAGGAACTGGTGGACTTGCCGTTCTTGCTGTAGCTGCGTGTTTTAGCCTACTCGGTCATTCCTGTATGGAATCCTTTTCAAATGTAAACGCTTTTCATGTCTCAGAAGATTACTGAATCGATTTCGTGTACACGGAAAGCTGATATGAATGCTTATGTCTGAGATAGGCTAGCAAGTACCAGGGAAGTGGTTGCGCCATCTCAGATTACCCTTGTGGCCTTCTTTAGATTGAAAGCCTAGCTTGGGGCCGAAAATGCGTGCCCTTTGTCCCTTTGGATATCAACAAAAAACTGCAATAGCAAGCGTAAAGGTTGACTTTAGAACTCACGCAGTAGTCCCCTCTAACTGCATGCCCTCTATTCTTTTGAACACCACCAAAGGCTGCAGTTGCAAGCGCAAGAGCTTGTTTTGAAATTTATGTAGTACCTCTTATAGATGTTTAATACTGACCACATATGGCTTTGCCCTCTAGTCAGTAAAAGGGACTTTGCCCTGCTCTTGCTTCAGAGGGGCATCTGTGCGTATTTTGATACACAGTATCCCAGCAGCAAGGGGAAACAGACACTAAGTGTCATGAAGTACTTGGTTCTACTAAATTAGTTACAGTCTACGAATTCACACAAATTGAGTCCGCGAACATATTCTACGCTCAATGCAGCGCGCTTCCTATTCATTTCTCTATTAACTGCAATATCGTCTAGTTGCAGCCTGCTGCCTTGGAAACAGTGGAAGAAAGCAGTCCCTGTGGTCCCTTTAAAGCCAAATTCGCGTGAAATTCACAAATTTCTAGCAGCTCACGGCTGCCTTCTATTTTCACATACTGTGACAGATCAACCATATGATGGCACAGGCTTATTGTAGGGCACGCAAGGAGGACGCTCAGGTAGTGCAATAAGTGAAGTAGCAGCTGAAGATTAAAATTATTTGCAATAAACAAGTCCTATCAGACAGCTCCATTGACAAGGCCTGTTTCTACTTGCCAGACTCAGTTGCACGCAAGGCCTTTACGCGCCATTAAAAAGTTTCCTTCCCTCAGGTAAAGCGCTTCTACTAACGGCAAACATCAGGCTGACTTTCGTAAACGGAAAACGACACGACTTGCAATCCGCAGTGGCACCGCATCCCGAAAACAGGGTGAGGTGATGCCAGTCAGAGGCTGCGTGCAATGATTGGCATTTTTCAGCATGTCAAAAGTTGCCCTAAACAGGGCTCACAGCTGTCTTTTCGATGGCAAAGACTGAAGAAATAGACAAAGTCGTGCCCAGAATCACATAACGCTTGCGTAGATCAAGCTTGCGCAAAAATTGGCAAAGATGCTGACAAAGAATGCTTACCGTCTGTCGTTGGTAAGAGGTGAGCGTACTCTTTTCCGTAAACGATGCTCACAGGTTTGCACATGATCTTATCCGTTTGTGCTTGTAAATACATGTATTGGCAAATGAAAATTTACGCGGGATGCGATAGATCTTGAAATGCCACTGTGGCACGCCGGTTCAAAAGCTGCAAGACTATGAGCAGACAAGCTCGTCATCTGAGAAAGACGAACAAAAGCCGCGACAGGATCTACTCAAAACAATTCATTTTCCATATTAAGGCGATATTAAGACTATGCAAAGACACTTTTAATATTCAAGGAGATAGCGGTTGTTTAATCACGTCGTTAAGACTGCAAGCTCGAGTGAGATCGAGCAGTGAGAGCCTTTGTGCGACTGAGATTTTCACCAGGCCTCAAAAAGACACAGAGTGTCTAGTAATACCTGGTGACTGAATCAAAGTGGGCACGGGAACAGACGACGATGTGCTGGTTGTGACCATGCATCGGGCTATGGCTTCAAAGAGAGGAGAATTCGAGCTTGTCATTGCCGTATTTAAATCTGCAACAAAACAAAGCTCTAGTTGGAACTGCTTACCCACAGAAGTATGGCATGTTCTTCCATGGATGGGTGATTGCTTCGACCGTGAACAGATGTGCTTCTGATTGAATAGGTGTATTCTTCTGCATTGAAGAACACTGCATAGTGTACTCGGGCTCACAGATATAGCGGTTAGTGTACGTAGTATGAGCTAGACTGCGCGCAGCATGAAAGTAATATCAGAAAATATTTAGCATGGAAAAAAGAATGAGATCCTGCAGCCTACTGGCGCTAGCTGTGTCCGTAAGCACGCCATAGCTCAACAGCGCTGAGAATTTCCACAGCCCCTGTTCTCCGTCATTCCCAATAAAGTTCGTATGTTCGGGAGCTGCAATCGACAACGTCTGGACAGTTAGCACGAGAAAAGCAAACCAGATCAACGTTTCAGTACGGAATGCTACAGATCTAAAATTATTTGGATCGTGCTAATGGCCAAAAGCGTGTCCACAAGCTACCAACGGATAGTCAAGCAGCCATCTGAAGAGGTTCTGGATTTGTCTTTTGTTCCAGAGATGGCTTTGCTGCACTGTGCTAGTGCCACGCATGGACTTGCCGACAGAGGGAACCACAAAGATATCTTACACGCAGACACAGCACAGGTTTTGTCTCCTCGGTGGGCAGTGAAAATTGTGTTGCTACTTACTTCCTGCAAAGCAGAAAGCACATCTGATTTGCAGATTTGGAGACGGTTCTCCATGTCCGCTTCGCTTCCTAGGTCCAAACCAGCAGGCAAGCTGAACGAGTATATTCCTGAATCCACAATTAGAACATTGGAATTTTTGTGGTATTTCTCTATTCATCTGCAAAATAATTGGCGTTTAATGCCCGTTTGAAGCTAGCTACAAGCCAGGCCCGCACGGATGCAAAAACATAGCACTGTTGCCACCTTGGTCCTTAATTTCATGGAGCCTTCTCACTTGTTTCCCCTGTGCAGCTTTTCTCTTCTTCCAGAGGCGGACAGGCTGAAGTACCAGCTACTTCATCCGGGTTCTGCACGAAACACTCGTGCAATCTAAGCTGACTGCGCTCTAGATGAAAAACTACTTTAGGGGAATGGGAGCGTGAGCACGGCACAGCACCAGAATACCAGAGCAATTTACGCTTTAAGGGCCGTCAGCCTGTGCCAAGCTCAGCTCACTACTTACTGCATTCTTTGGGCATCTCATTCGTGTAATGATTATCATAGGACTAGTGGCAGGAATACTACTAAGCCATGACCCGTCTCCACTCTAAACATGTATCAGCAACTGAGCCGCTAGCAAGTAGCTTACCAAGATAGTTCGTTCTCTCGTAGACTTGAGACCTGAACAATTCTTGTCGCAGACAGTCCACTCCGACCAATTTGATACTTTGCATTCGCACGCTGAGCAGAGGAAAACGCAGAAGGAAAAGTAAGGAGGGACTTTTTGGCGGTTTTCTTTTGCTCTGTTGGATATTGGTGCCTAATTCAAAAGAATACTGCTCTTTATATGCAGATTAGAAGCTGCGTGCAGGTTGTGAGAAGTAATTACTGCTTGGTGCCTCCTCTCCCAGCAAAATGCACATGTCTATCGGCGTGGACAGCGTCTCAGCTGCAACAGCAACAGCAGTAAATCTTCACTCCGAGCATACAGCCCACGGCCTAGACACTTAGCTTTTAACACAGGAGCACACTGGCATCTGGAAGCGCACAGGCAGTACATCTATTTCATTTTCTATGAGCGTGCACAGTACTCAAAGTTGGCACTGTGCCGGCTCTTGAACTCACGATTAGCTTTGTAGGCCTGCAGACGAAAGGGCGTGTCAGCCTCCAGGCCAGGCAAGACACCATCTAAGGTGGCGTATATTGGCAATGCTGGGTCCTTCACTTTTTCGGCGAGCACTGCAAACACAGTCACACATAAGCAGAGGAGCAGCAGCTGCACTCAAGAGCTGAGGCCTTTCCAGAGGGGGCTCCGCAGTAGCTCTCTGCAATAAGCACAGCAGGTGGAACGCCTACAAGCTAGCGACTAGGGAATGCTCAAAAAGAGCAGCAACTACTATGCTTTGCGTTGTGCTGTACTATGAAGATGTCCCACACTGCAATGCGCGCTCTGGATCTTGGCCGAGATCTGCGTCTGGATCATCGGCTGGAAGAGTTGTATCAACTAGAACTATGAACTGCACGCGCCAGTATTTCTTGCCAGTTGCTGTGTCTGTGTCTAAAGCAGAGAAAGTCACTCGCCTCTCACTTAGACCCAACGCCTGAAGCGCAAACCGTAAAAGACGCAAAACAGCGATCCATTTTCTTTTTGCTGCATCACGTCCTCATAATGGGCTTTCGTTACACTGTACAATACTTTGTGCACAGACAAAGGGGGGAACTTGTACTAGCTCGGCGCAGCAACAGCAAACTGCGGAAGCTGCTGCACGCCTGGTGTGCTGCTGCTGCAGTGTAGCAAAAAGGCGCTGCAGCAGCAGCATAGCAAAAGGGCACTCAATGAACTGTTTGCCTGCTTTCCTGGCTTATAGCGCTTCGGATTTCGCCGCTCCTCGTGATGAGGGTTTCTTCACTCAGGCTGGTTGTTTGAAGAGAGGCCTCCCTGGTGATTATGAAGATCATACAGGCCCCGCTGCAGGTGCGCGTTTCCTTGGTGTGCGGGCAGCTGAGCACTTCGTTCGGGGCAACCTGCAAACACATGTTTAGCAATGAGAAATCAAGTTTAATGAAGTGAGTCCGCCGGCTGCCTAGTATCGCCAAAGCCCTTGGGCTCTGGTGAGCCCTCCAGCCCTAGCCCCCACTCGAAAAGAAAAGGAAAAAGGTACTGGGGCCACAGGCCTTGGCTCTGGCTCAGTTTACCAGGATTCGCCGCTCCCGCACTTGTTCACTTTCTCCACAGGCAGCGGGGCATACAACCCACTCGCTCCATTCGCCTGCTTGACAAGTCTCATCTGGAGGAGCAGGGGCCTCCGGCGGGCTCTTGCCAGTGAGGCTTGCGAAGACAGTTAGGCAGATGAAGGCCACAGCTACCAGCAGGGAAAAGGGTCCCAACCAAAGCAGCAGCACTGCAGCAAAGCAGCAACAGCAGCAGCCCGAAGCCTCAAATTCCCTTTCAAGAGAGAGGCAGCGCTGAGGATGAAAAGATTTTCACAAGTTCCTACGCAGCAGTGCAAAATCTGCTATATCACTAATTTTAGTTAGTGATACTTCGTGTATTGTATTGTGTCGTTGCAACTGTCAATTAGATTAATGAGTGCTACTCAAAACTAAGTATGCTACTGCTGCCGGTTTAGCTCCTACGCTTGTCACGCCTTTTGTCCTCAGCAGCTTCGTCTGTGGGAGCCTGCACAGCATGAGAAGACTCTTCAAATGAATCCCAGGAGGCATCATTGGTGCCGTCGTTGTTTTCAAGGCTGTGGCTGTTTCTTTCTTGCGGGCCCCTTTCGGGGTCTTCGGGGTCCCGCATAGGAGCCAAGCCCTGGGCTGGGGCCTCGGGGGGGCCCCCCAGCCCTTGCCCACTGAGAACTGAACTCGTACGCCTCATACTGCGCCGGCGGAGCCCGTCAGGAGTTGGCATTGTGACTGCAACATCAAATGGCCCTTCTGCTGCAGCTCTTGAGCCTAGGCGAACAAGAGAAGTCTCTCCAACTCCGTAAACTTCCCCCCTTGCTGGCTCTTCAGGGCTACCCGAGAAGGCCCCACTGCCCCTCCCTGCTGCTGCTGCTCCCTCCAGCGCATTAGCAGATCCAAGCTTCCCCAGACTTTCTTGCTGCTCCTCCTCTTCGCCATTTGCTGCACTGCTTTGGCTGTTGAGGGGCTCCTGAGTTGCTGCCAGCCCTCCCGACAGGCCTGCTTCTGGTGCTTCTCCAAGGGCCGCCTCTGCAGAAGCTTCTGCATCAGCTGCTGCTGCTAAGTCAGGACCTTCCAAATCCCTGCTGCCTCGAGAGGCCTTGCTGCCCTCGCGAGGGCTGACAGAATTAGAACCCATCTTTGCTGAGGCCTCCCCTTGTGAGCCCTCTTGGATCTGGCTCCCTGCTTCTCCCTGTGCTGCTGCTGCTGCTGCTGCAGCTTCCGGCGACTCTTGCATTCCTTCAGCTGCTTCATTCGGACCTCCCTCTGACAGTATCTCGCCCTGAGACCCGTCTACTCTCTGGAGACTCCCATTAGCTGGGGCCCCTTCATTTTCTGGCTGCGCTCCTTCTGGCTGTTGTTCTCCTCCCGGAAGCGCCTCCTCCCCTGGGGGCGCCTCCTCTCCTGGGGTCCCCTCCTCCCCAGGGGGCCCCTCCTCCCCTGGGGGCCCCTCTCCTTCTGCTGGCAACTCCTCTCTTGGGCTCTGCTCGTCTCCGGGTGGCTGCACCTCCTCCGTGGGCCCTTCCGGCCCGGGGGGCTCCTCTTCTCCTGGGAGCCCCTCCTGCCCTTCATTCCATTCTTCAGCAATCTGCCCCTCGGCAGCAGCGCCCTCAGCGTGGCTGGTGTCGCCATCTGCCTCGTAGAGGCCAGGGGGCCCCTCTCCAGGGGGCCCCTCCGCAGAGGGCCCTTCGGCAGAGAGGCCCTCTGTCTGTGCCCCTCCAATGGGTTCAGCTGGTCCATCTGATTCGTTTACTTCAGGGTTTTTTCCTTCGGTGTCGATTGCGTCATTTGGGGTGAGCTCATTAGTATCTTCTGCCTCTCCAGGGGCCCCCGTGTCACGGCCGCTCTCCCCAGGAGCTTCTTCTAAAGCCGACTGCCGCTGCTCCAGCTGCTGCTGCTGCAGCTGCTGGCTGGCCTGAGGTGTTGGGCCAAGCTGGCCCGCCTGGCTCGCCTGATCAGCGTCTGACATTGTGGGGGCGAGTTTCAGGAGAACGTGAGAGCTACAGACTGGTTAAGGTGATGGCTAACTTGGTGCGCGCCCTCTTGGGCAGCCCTTCTAGGGTGTACAGACAGCCCAAGTTAATCGCGAGACAGCAGGGCGAACAGGCGCTGCAAGTGCAGCATCTTGCTGCGCAGCAGTGTGGCTGTGGCTGTTCAGTAGGAAGGCTTATGCACTAAGGGCTACTGAGTTTATTCTAAACTCCGAAAGTCGCCAACTCAAAGCTAACAACGAGACAGCGCCGCCTTCCTGCGTCCTGTGGCGAGAGGGTCCTCGTTGCCGACGTGGCGGCTAGGCACGAGCCATTTTATTTTTTCAAAAGACCCAAAGTAGACTAGTTACGGTAGTTACGGAAAGTGACGAGCTCCGTTTTGAGTGCCCGTGGAAGAAAGACCCCTTCGACTCCGCGCAGACACTCCAGAGGTCCGTTTGCACAGAAACTGTCGGGCTTAGCGCAGTGCTTTTTCCATAACCTACACTTGAAATTCCATCTAAAATGTTAAGAGAGTTGTTTGGAAGCCAAAAATTAGCAAATACAGCCAACTGAAGAAGGGAGAAACAATAACGCAGCGAACAGCCCTTGGTGTGCAGGACAACCAGAGGGTCACCGCCCCCAGACCAGCTCACTCCGCTGTGAATCAGCCATTCCTCTTCCTTTCCTAGCTGATTTTGTGGGTATTTTAAATACTCAGTTTTAATAGTAACGTGCAACAAAAGGCCCAAATTCACAAACAACTCTGCCCCTCACGCGCTTTGTTCCTTAGCCATGAGCTGTACAATGAAAGGGGGCCTCAGCGCGTTCACAGATACATAAACTTGAATTACTTTCCCAACATATCACTTCTTCTGCTGCACTGCTTGGCTGTTCAGCCACGGGCAGCAACTGCACGGCTGCCTCTAAGAGATGCAAGCCATTTATATTTCTTCAAGGAAAAAACAAATTGTTTAAATAAACAATTAGTTTGATTTCCGGAAATGACTCCAAGGAAAATGCAAGCGTGCGCTTAAGGCCTGCACAGGGGCTCCAGAAAGGCTTTTAAAAACAACCTGAGGCCTCTATGGGGACCTGTGAAGCTCTATAGAGAGTCAACTGGGCTTTGGAAAGGGTTTCAATGCTCGCAGAGTCTTCCAGGGGCGTTAAAGAGCTTTTGCTCGAGCTATTTAATGCTCTTAGAGGGCTCAACGAAAATTTTGAGGCCACCCAAGCCCCCGAGTCTTCAGTGATGCCCCCACATGCAAGCTGAGTGATATTTGCTGCAGGCCTCGCGCTGCAGTCTTCGTCGCTGCGGCACTAATCGTGTAGCAGCAACTAATGATAAGCAGCGGTGCATGATTGTCCTGCGGTGGAATGCCATGTAGGAACAAGTCTACAGGTTTGCAGGTGCAAAGGTATAATTAAGCTAGTTTCAAATTGGAATTAGTACTGTCATTATTATTATTTTTACTACTATTATTATTACCATTATTATTACTATTACTATTACTATTAGTATTAGTATTACAATTACTATTATTATTACTATTACTATTACTATTACTATTACTATTAGTATTAGTATTACTACTACTATTACTATTACTATTACTATTACTATTACTATTACTATTACTATTACTATTCCTATTACTATTACTATTACTATTATTATTACTATTACTATTACTATTACTATTACTATTACTATTACTATTACTATTACTATTACTGTTACTATTACTATTACTATTTACTATTACTATTTTGATAATGATAATGATAATGATAATGACAATGATAATGACGATGATAATGATACTATTACTGTTACTATTAGTATTACTATTACTATGACTATTATTATTACTATTAGTATTACTATTACTATTACTATTATTATTACTATTAGTGTTACTATTACTATTACTATTACTATTACTATTACTATTACTATTACCATTACTATTACTATTACTATAACTATTACTATTACTATTACTATTACTCTTACTATTACTATTACTATTACTATTACTATTACTATTACTATTACTATTACTGTTACTA